CCATCCATTACTCACGACAGATCGTCTCGAAAAACAAAAAGAACATTTTATGCATCTGTCACATCATGCTCATTGCGCTATCTTCAATCTAGAGATTTTATCATTTATTTTAAATTTTCTTTTAATAAAACTGTTACTGTTTCTCGCTCATGTTCAATATTATTATTAAACGATAAACGTAGGGTTTTAATGATCTCTCGTAATAACGAGAGCTGACAGTGGATTGACGACTTTACAGTGACACTGTCATCGCCTGACGTATGATCGCGTGCACGTTACAACGTCAGGATAAACAACCCTTATTGGCCATAATACCGTGGCAGAATGTCAGCCTTCGACCGGTAACCCGCGTTTCTACGCTCCGTACGCTCGTTACGACCCTGTTCGCCACACATAACTTCAAAGTTACTGCCACCACTTACATTTCGCTATGAACGACACCGCCACTCAAGCCGCAGTGGCTACCGCCACTGATTTGTGAATAAAAAACATGCTGAAGTCAGCAAAGAGAATAAAAAAAATAGTAGAGTAAATTTATTTCGCTCACCTTATCCGCGCGATAAGGGTGAAATTATTTCAACAAACTACTTTCGGTTAATTATCTGCGTATATAGCACGGATAATCTAGATCTTAGCACCTGCGAGGTGAAATTGTGATAACGGCTGTGTGAAATAATGTTTACGTGATACCACTGTTATAGCGCCCCTACGTTACTACAGCGTAATCAATATCAAGAATTATATAAATCATGGTTAAAAGGAGGAACGGTGGAAAAAAATGCTGCTCTTAAAAATGCGCGTTTTATAATAAAAACTCCCTTTCTATCTATAATAGGAAAATATTAAAATAATTTTACGCATCGATATAATTTATTTTTTCTATCAGTTAAATATTAAATATCCTGTGTTTAAATATAGTGTGTGTGTGTGTGTGTGTGTGTGTGTGTGTGTGTGTGTGTGTGTGCGCGCGCGCGCGCGCGTGTGTGTGTATGTGTGTGTTTAATATATTTTCAAAAATAATCCGAAAGAACTAACAACGATAATCTATTTACTTTCTCACGGTGTTTCGAGCGAAAAACGAAACAATGTGATATGACGGATGAAGTCTCTAGAATATCCAATGAAGTCAGCGTGCAAACTCAGGCAGAGGTATGAACAGGCGGATGGATTATGGACGGCTGGCGATGCGATGGCCGCGTGCAACCCCCCCCCCCTCTCACGAGCGAGCGAGATTTAGGCGCGTGCGAGCTGGATTTATGGCCCCCATTATGACGTTGACGTATCGCCTTCGTGAGGGTGGCCTAAAGCAAACCCAAGGTGAATCTAAGTCCGGTGTATCTAAGCCAATGGCTAGCCACAGGTCACCGCGACCGGCACGAGAATACTTTGGGCTAATCCTGCGGCTCACCATATCTGCGATGGCTTTAATTAATAAGTTACGTTCTTGCAACATACGATACTTTTATCTTACTTTTATTTAATCATTTTTATCTCGTCTTGTGAAGAGATCAAGATTTTTTTAGCGATTTTTTTCAAACCCCTGTAGAAATTTAATACTGAAAGATAGTGATTAATTTTTTATTTTTTTTAATATTAAAAGCACGGTCGTTTAATGCTCTTGATACACAAAATAAGTAATTTCCAATATTATGTTTAGCTAGTATTAAATTGAATTTACGGGGAAGAGATATCGAGATTAATATAAACTTGTTTTACATCAACACAATAAAGAAATTTCAATTGCATTACAACATCAAAGAAAAGAATATTTCTTATTCTTCTATACGCGATGGTATATCACGTTAAGGGGGAATCATTCGCATGCGAAAGAGCAGACACATCCGAAAGTCAAGAACAACCGAATTAACGGACACCGAACTGTCGCCGAGCTAGACACAAGCGTCGTAATCGCGGCGCGTCACGAAAATTATTGGCATCTTCCGTTCTATAATGGTTGTCTAGCGCCGCAATAAAGCTGCGGCAGCAGGGAAACGGGGGAGATAGTGGCGCATTCACGATTTAAAGGGCGTGCGAATTCGCTTTTACGCGTCGGATGCGAGAGACCCCGCGATTCAATTTATATCCTCTGGCCGCGCGCTTCCTGTCTGCGGCGCACACAATCTTTCGGGATTGCACCACTTCGTCCACTTCCGGGGGATCCCACTTCCCCCCGCCTCCCCAACCCCATCATCCCTCTGCTCCTCTATGAAATACGACAATGATTCTATCGGCAGCGAGCGTCGCGCGACGATATTCTCGGGAGGGTGGAAGGGTGACGCAAATAAATTGCGTTGCAAAATGGACCGGGCGGCGAGTGTTATAGTGGTCGACGTCACGCATCGGCGAGTGTCAAAACACCGTGGAGGAAACCGCAACTACGATGCATTAAAGGGAACTGAGTTAATGGACAAACGGCAACGTGGAACGCGTGGAGATTGCTCGCTTAAAGGCGCGGCCACTCCCAGAAAGAGGGGGAGAGAGAGAGAGAGAGAGAGAGAGAGAGAGAGAGAGAGAGAGAGAGAGAGAGAGAGAGAGAGAGAGAGAGAGAGAGAGAGAGAGAGAGAGA